CCTGGTGAGATTTGAACTTGCAATAATTGCAGGCAGCTGGCAGCTAAGCGCTACTTAACAGCACTTTAGTCCGCTGCGCCACCAGGGCTCTTTTTCTTAAACAATCACCAAGGCTCCTTTTCTTAAACAATCATCATCTAAAACCTTTTATTGTTTCGTATCTTTATTCATTGAACTTAGATTCTGCAGTAATCTGCTAAAACAGCTAGTGGTTAACAAAATAACACACTCAATATCAAAGTATTCACAGTAACCATAGTTTAAATTAGGAAAAAGTAATGACAACATTAAATAACAACCAACTACTGGCAAACACAACCTTAAAACCCATGAACAACATTCAAAATCAGATGCAATTCTCAGTGAACAAATGCTCTTTGGAGCATTATTTTTTTTAGCGGCAACTGAAATGAAACCAAACAAAGAAGAAGCAAGATCTCAACAGCCCTTTGAATTGTGCCTGAAAGTTTAGAGTTAGCCAATGAAATATTTGAGGCAAGAAGACTGAATCCAAAAGAGTCCCCAAGTTGACCTCTTTTCCTCCTACAGAACTGACTGGGTTGCTATCTAAAGAAGTAATGAAACCATTGAACACTGCTTCCAACCTCCAACCCTTGCAGATAGTCTAGAGTCCAGTCTAGAGACTCTAGACTATTGTGTTTGATGGTATCCACTGGGAGGTCTAAAAGGAGTACGAGGGGCTTACTTCCCCAACTGATGACCTTACAAAGATAATCCACTACAGCAGTGATGGTTAATCTTTTTGCCTTTGTGTGCCAGGAGAGGGGTGGCTGGGTGAGGTTTGCGTGTGCGCGTGCCCACACCCATAATTCTATGCGCCCCCCTGCGCATGTGCATGCAACCCCCCTCCCCCCTCCGCTCCTGGCATGCGATGGCCTGGTAGGCCCATTTTTCTTTCTTACCTGGCTCCAGATCCTCTCTATGAGGGCCTCCGAGGGAGTGGGAAAGGCTGTTTTCACCCTCCGCAGATGCATAGAGAAGATCTGGAGCCAGGTAAGAAAGAAAAACGGGCCTTCCCCACCCCCCCAGGCCCTCCAGAGGCAGGAAACAGCCTGTTTCCCTACTTCTGGTGGGCCCAGAAGGCCCAAAAATCAGCTGACCAGCGTGCACATGCGCGCCAGAGCTGAGTGCCCACTGATATGGCTACACGTGCCACCTGTGGCACACATGCCATAGGTTCACCATCACGGCACTAGAGTAACCAGTTGTCACCTCTATCCCAAGCTCAGGCCTGAACTCTGATGAAAATGGGTCCAGATAATCTGCTTCTTCATGGGAACAATGTACCATATTTTTCGGAGTATAAGATGCACCGGAGTATAAGATACACCTTAGTTTTTGGGGAGGAAAATAAGAAAAAAAACTGATTGGCAGGTGGATCGGCCTCCCGGAATACCCCCAATCAGCTGTTCCCAGAGGTGAATTTTAGCAATACGTTCGTTGGTTGTGAGCTCTGCACCTTGCTTTTTTTTCAGCTTCTGAAACTTCTAAAACTGCTTCAGAAAAAACTTTTTTTTCTGCCTCTGAAAGCCTCCGAAACAGAGCTTCAGAGGGGTTTTTTTTTCTGAAGCTCTGGTTTGGAGGCTTTTTTTCTGAAGTTCTGTTTGGAGGCTTTTTTTCTGAGGCTTTTTTCATTTCTGAGGCTTTTTTCAGCCTCTGAAACCTCCGTGTGAGAGGTTGGGCAGGGCTACATTCAGAGTATAAGATGCACCCAGATTTTCACCCTTTTTTGGGGGGAAAGGTGCGTCTTATACGCCGAAAAATACGGTCCTTGTCTTCTGATAATTATGTCACAATAACCTTGTTCCAGAAGGGAAACAATATTATTGTCCAAAACAACTGGTTTCATAGTGGGCTTCTTCATCCACAGGGGAAGGCCACCAGAACATATTTCAAAGCTGTAGTATCATACTCTCTCAAAGTGTGGTGCTGATGAATTCCCAGATTGCACTGAGGATACCCCCATCAAGTCCGCTAAAAGTACTAGGAAAGGCATGGATGAAGCCTGTGAAGAACAGAACTCATTCTAGAGAGCACCCTATTTCTATTTCACTGAGGTTCTTTGATCAAAAGACATCTCTGGATGATATATGCAGACATTATAACAGTCACATCACTCTGCCCATGACGTCATGTCTGGAAAACCTGAGTGATATGATCAGCAAAATCCTGGGCAAAGTGGTCACCATGGCCAAGCAGATCTACATGTTATTCCTTTGCTAAAATGGAATTTCCCGTTCTTATTAAGAAAGCTGGAAAATATCCTGCTCATTCAATGAAAAGAATTGGAAGGAACTTTGACCCCCTTGTTCCCACAGTGTAGGCCTGAATTTGGTTTGTACTTCTGTCTAGTCAGATTCATTTCATACCAGTGTTCCAGGGATTTTTACTGCCATTTTCTCCTGGAGCCCCTAAGTAAAGGTGTCTTCCAAGATCAGCTAATAGAAAAAGACTTGTTGAGAGCAATTAAAAGTGCCACGAAAACCTCTTACTGCTAGTGGGAAAACAAGATGAAATTGCTCAGCAGATGACTGAGAGGCTGTGCAAGCATCTGCTAAAAAAGACATTTGGATCCATTAGACATCAGAGAGTATCTGAATGGGATCTTTCATCTTAAAGCAGTGTTTCTCAACCTTGGAAGCTTGAAGATGAATGGACTTCAACTCCCAGAATCCTCCAACCAGCAGCGCTGGCTGGGGGATTCTGGGAATTGAAGTCCACCCATCTTCAAGCTTCCAAGGTTGAGAAACACTGTCTTAAAGAGTTGGGTCGCAATCAATTGGACCAGGAAGTAGTATAACTATGGAAAGGGCTGATACCCTCCATATGCCTTTCATGAAACTGCACCAAGGGAAATACGAAGTCTAACATGTGTATCCTATGTGTGACAAACCTGAGACTGACCTATGGTCTTTATGTAAGTCATGAATTCCTGAGTTCTCCTAGCCAATAGTGCACGTAGACTGAAACCTCCCAGCGCAAAAGGTGAGCAAAACCCAACACCAACTCAGACCCCCAAGCCCAGAAAGGCAGGTAGAAACTGTTGAGCAGGATGGTTACACCAATAAGTTTTCTGCCTTGCCCTTATGGCCCAACCATTCGTACTCCATCATTTCAGAAGCAAAATCCCTAGTCAAGCTGAGTATCTTTTAAAGATCAATAGCATTCCCACCCCTGCCCCACTTGATCTTCACTTTGAGGCTTTGAAACTAAGAAGGGCAAATCTCTGAGAATATTTCTACCTCTGCCCATCCAAGATTTGCCGATGGGTATCATGTCTGCCTATTTGTCCATGAAATGCTTAGAAAATAATCGAAATCTATAGCAGATGAATCTGTTTATGATTTACAATTTGAGGCCAAGGTCACTAAAGTGAAAATGAGATTATCAATGAAATGGTTTCCTTTATTCTGAAATGGACTATAGGGTGCTCCTCTCCTCTCAACTCTATCTCAATCTAACACAAACAAGAACTAACCGGTTTCCCTTGTATTCCTGTAGCTCCAGGGCCTTTCCATTATTAACTTCCTCCCAACTTTCCTACCAGCCAGCCAAATGGTCTGCTAGCAGAGTCATTCAAGCTAACAGCACCCTCTATTACAATCAGCATCCTTCCTATACAACCCGTAAGACTTCCATAGCAATGGGCACCCTTTCTCGGTTGCCCTAAAACCAGCCCTCATCCCCAACTTTCTCACTGAAAATGGCCCTCTCACTTTGCCTGACCCCCAAAGTGGTTGACCACAAATAGCCCTGGAGCTGGAATCTCTTCTGGACTTCCTGACCCACTGAGTCAGTAACATTGGTGACCCCTAACATCACTGGAACTTCTCAGTTTAACCTATGACAGGATAAGTTGTAAATGGCTGGCTTTATACCTCAGCTGGATATAAAAAGGAATAGGTTGTAAAAAGAAATAGGTTGAGCGACTGCCAAGCGGATATGCAGGATTGGTCAAGAGGAACTAGAAGCATTTATTTGAAGTTACTAATGGTAAATGAGATGTCATAAATTATTATATCTAAAAGTTCACATACCATCCCCAACAAAAAGTGAATGGTCCAAAAAGCATGACACATGACAGAGATTTGTGTATTATTTTACCAGAACCTCTTTACCAGAAGCTCAAATCACTAATAGGCCACAATATTGCAGAGTTATGGATGCTTTCAAAGATTTCACAAACTTTCGACAGATTCACAAACTTTCATCACTGTATTCTGCCATTAATTGAGGGAATATATTTTGAAATATCAAAAACAAGCACAAGTATGACTAAATCTCTTCAGTGGAACTCCTGGAAAGCTGCCATCTATGGCTTCCATCGGTAAGATTCATATAGTGTAGCTATTTCAGACTATAGAACTGAGCACTGAATCGAGTTACTCCACATCTAGCAATGTGTGTAGCATTTAACATTACACTTATTTGAATTTTAGATATCATTTTGAGACTCAGCCTCACTTTTTGATATACCTGTACAATATTTAGTATCTATATTGGCAAAAATATGTACTGAATTTTGAAAAAAAAATTGTGGGAACCTATATCCATTAATTCCAAAATATCTGTATGTAGATGAAAAAATAAATGAGCTAAAAGTCTGGCTTGCCTTAGCCCAAGCCAGGCTTTCAGCTCGTTGGAATGAAAACTATCAACTTCCATTTGACAAGGTCTCAGGAGGTCTTTCATTCACCATCTACTTAATTCTTCTAAATAGGAATGCCAGGGAGAGAATTTTGGAACTTCAAAGCCCTGGTCCACCCTCCCTCCCCAAAAACCCCACTGAATTTTGGTCCATGAAAAAGCAATTATTTCCTCCCATCAGAAAAATATTTATATACAACAAATTGCAGTTGACACACTTCTGGCAATGCTTTTCACAGCTGCATTAACTCTAAAAAACCTTTCTGATGCAGATTTGAGCACACGCATTGCTCAAGATTCATTTTTTTTTTCAAAATAACATTATAAAACTGTTAAAGGAGAGAGAAAAGAAAGATTTATTAGGAAGGCTTTCAAAATTACAGTAGTTTGACCTGTCTCTATCTATTAACTGAAGTTAGTATTGTTATTCTACAGATATCTTCTCCTGAAGTACTACTTATCCGTCCATTTGTTGTACCGCGTTTTATATACATTTAAAGCCTGCAACTTAAAAATAAAAGTACTGTCACATTTGTTTCTGCCACAGAAAGAGAAGAGGATGTAGTCTTTTTCAATGAGAAAATTCAGACTTTTGCCACACGCATTTTCACATTAATTCACCCATTCTTCTTTAAAAAGCCAGAAAAAGATTCCACAATTCCTTGCTTTCAAAAGATGAAGCCTATTATCAAAGAAAATACCACATACTTAAAGATCTGATCTAAGTTCGTAAATTCCATGTCTTTTGAAAAGCAGCATACTGTGGGAGCAAACACACTGGCTCCTTTGTCTACAAATGAAGTCTTCAAAAGAACCTACTTTATTTTACAAAAGGAAATTTCCGTAGGATTCAGAGTTGCAAAGTACAGGTAGTCCTCAACTTATGACTACAATTGAGCCCAGAATTTATGTTGCTAATTCAGAAATTTGTTAAGAGAGTTTTGCCCCATTTTATAACTTTTCTTGCCGCATTTGTTAAGTGAATCACTGCAGTTGTTAAATTAGTAACATGGCTTTTAAATGAATCTTGCTTCCCCATTGATTTTGTCAGAAAGTTGCAAACATGATCACATGACCTGGGGACACTGCAACTGTCATAAATATGAACCAATTGTCAAGCATCCAAATGTAAATCACATGACAATGGAGATGTTGCAATGGTCATACGTCTGAGAAAAGGTCATGTCACTTATCAGTGCCATTGTAACTTCGAATGGTCACTAAATGCATTGTTGTAAGTTGAGGACTATCTATACTGGCAACTCATCATCAGTCATCAAGACCATATCCCTAATGTCCAAGTGAAGGGATATGCTTTCAAAGTATTAAAATAGCCGATTAAAGCCATGAACTACTAATATCTAGCCCTCCCCCATCCCAGTTTTACATTGTACCCAGTGAAAGATTCAAAAGTGACGTGGTAATTTCCCTTCTAATTTTCTTAGAATGAAATTACTCCATAAATACAATATTAGAACACTTTTGAACTCTGGAAGAGCTCAATTATAAGTCCAGCTCTATCATTAACTGCTTTGTTCCAATTTACACTTTCCTTTTATATTCCAGCACACAAACAATATAAACTTCATAAATAGTGCATACAATGACATTTTAATACCAAGAGTTTTCTTTGTGTGAGGGAACTGGGGACTAGAAAATGACCTGTACATATACCCAAATATTTTAAACACCTATAATTTGTTAAACTCCAAACCTCTCTATTCCCTTCCCCATTTTTAAAACCATTTTCCACACTTATGATTTCCAGCATCAGAAAGCCAATAAAGCCACCTCATTGTTAATACTTCTGTTAACCTTAAGGAAACAAATAATTTAAGCTCAGTGGCTTTATACTCCCCTAAAGCAAGTATCCCCCTCAAATAACTTCCATGTTTTGTCTCCAGTTCTTCTGACACTACCCAATGAAAATCAGACAATTTGAGTGACAAAAAGCATTGAAATTATTTCCCTTACAATTTATTTACAAACTTCCCATCAGCACTGATGACCCTGATGTTGTAAATGAACTGACAGCTTCTGTATCATCATCATAGCACCTGACTGGCACTCAATCAGAATATCATTAATCCCAGGAGACATGATCCAAAGAGAAACCAAGTGACAGAGAAATAAACAAAAAACTGACAAACATTTAACTTAGATAGTTGGTCCAGGAAGGGAATGGATTCAACATTGTAGTTGACTTTGAGGTGTCCCAAGGAGTTACATAATCAGTGTATTAGAACAGAAGTTACGCGAGAGTGCCAATTCTGCTTCTTCTAGCTTCACACAAAACTGTCAGTCGTACGATTTCAACAGATGAGAAGTCAATGGAAAAGATGGAATTCCATCAGGAAAAGAATAAGGAAGAGCAGGCATGGAATGGTAGAGGGGGCAATAGGGGGAGTCAGTCCATAGGGTTCATTTTGCACTGGGTGGTTTATAGGGCTCCAGTAGAAGACTTGAAAAGGTATTGACTTTATCAGCTCCTCGCACTTCATGGGGTAAAAGTGGCAACTTTACAATATGAAAGTCTTCATAAAGGTCTTCCATCTGGATAAAAGAAAAAAAAATGGAACCGTCAAAAACCTAAGAATCAGGATTAAGAATTACAGCATTTTCTATTTAAATTTATCCTGTTAGGTTAGAAAGTTTTACTGTGTTCATTCTTTATAATCCTTCTTCTACCATCTTAATTCAATGGTAGGTTTAAATTCTAAATATAATTTGCATTTCAATACATTAAGTATGCTACTTTTTTATAGCAGATCAAATTTTTTTGTGCAAGTTATTCTGTGGAAAGTTGTATCTTAGTGCAATTTCACTTATACAACTAACTCACCAGATGATCCTTTGTATTATTACTATCTGTTCACAACAATGTGAAGTCACAGCTGCTACTTGTTTTGTTGGTTAGGCCTTCATACACACTGAGTTGTTCCCAAGAACCTAGGATATCATAATTATCAGTATAATATATACGTGGATCCAAACAGTGTGGCCTTTTGGAATTGACATGGAAATTCTGCCAATGCACAACTTTTCCCAAGTGCTGTCCAATATGTTTTGGTATTTCATCCACTGGGCCATGCCACTGTGGCTACCACAGCCATTTTATGCCATAATCTTTCAATTTTGATTTACAGATGTTGATACTTTGTGATTTTCTCCAATTCTTTCTGTTCTATTCTACTAACCCCAGGCATTGTCAAATCAGTTATTAGGTCGGCAAGCTGTTTAGATGATTATTATTATATCCTCCAGAGTAACACTGGGCTTTAAATGCTGGGCTCAAGGAAATTCTATCTGAGGTCAGTCATCCTCAGAGCAAGATTTAGTGAAATAAGAGTCATATGAAGTCATATAAAAGGGAGGGGAGGAAATTATGAAAGAAAATATTAAATTAAAGAAACACTTGAAAGGAAAGTGGTCTGGGACTAAAAAAGAAATAGAAAATGTTCCTTGAAAGCTATGAAGAAATTAAAGAACAAAAGGGGAAAATTACAGAATCCTGATGCTACATTTAGAAAGACAGACAGAAAGGTTGAGAACTTTAAAAGAAAAAAACAAAAGTGAAGGCAAGGAAAAGTTTTTTAAAAAGGAAACAGCAGAAAAAAGAATAGAAATAGGTGAGCAGTTTGACAAATATAGGCAACTGGACCCTAACTTATTTAAATATGACAAAAAACTACCATCCAAATTAGTTACTATATACATCTTTTATATTATCTAAAATATTTATAATCATAAGGGATTAGAGAAAGGAAAAATCTGCACACCCCATAGGCATATAAAAACAAGACAAGAGCATGACATCCTAAAGAACAGCATATCCAGAAAAACAGCTAAAACATTTTCTGCCCTCTTCAGTCACCTGTGTTCAAATTTTAAGTGCTAATGAGTAACGGACAACTGGATTTTATATACCTTCAGAAAGGCTAAACATTCACTGTGAAACAAATGCTGAGAATATTCTAAAGCACAATAGCCTTAAAGGCTGAAATAGAATTGCTAACTTCTGGCTTTCAATCTTTCCTAATATAAAGCAAATTCCTGTTATACACATCAGGCCTGCACAACCTGTAGTGGGAAAGGGCCACACTAACATATTAAAAATCAGTTGAGACCACACAGAAAAACCTGGTGTTGCACAGCTGGCCAAGCAGCAGCAGCATTTAATTTAATTAATTCAATTTATATGCCTAGAGCACCACTAGAACTGGTGCTGGCCTAGAAAAACGGAGGTGCTTGGCAGTGTCTTTTGGCACAAAGACAGCAAATTTATTACCACATTAAGGCTGCTTGGAAGACTATGCAGGCCTAATATGGATTAATATGTTCCCAGTTTATCAGGGAATCTGCAGTGCTTCTAATCATACCTGGTCAAGGTATTTAGACTGGATTTTATGCCGAGCTTCACACATCTTGCAAGGCTTGTCAGGGTCAGGAAAGACCAATTGATTGACTATGATATTATGGGTGTCAATTTTGCATTTGGCCAACTCCTGGATAAGCCGTTCTGTTTCATACAGTGATAGGAACTCCGCAATGCAAACACAGATGAAAGTGGTTTGTTCCTGTAACACAGACAAGATATAATTAGTTCAATGATGTGAACAGAAGTGCAAAGTATAGTTTTGTTTCATTCGCTCTCCCCAGAACCCATCATCAATGCAGCTGCCTCTTTCTCCATTCCCTCTCATGTCTTGTCGTCATGTTTTAGAAAACAGGAGTTAGTGCCAGAAATCAAATCTGAAGAACAGAAACAGAACAGAAACAACTTACCCTAAGCACTTTAAGGTTTATTTAATAATCATAAGAAAAAATAATGCAAAAGAAAAGAAAAAATAAACATTCAGAAGGTGCAGAAGAAAAACAAAATTACAAATAAAATACGACTAAAAAGCTTTTCTCCACGTAGCTTAATTATCATCTTTTCAGTATTGTTTCAGCAAAAAGTCAATTAGGAGTTGTGAGAAATACTGAACAAGTAATTTATCCCTGATCAAATGGTCCAACTTTATAGTTCTTCTTTTTGTTCTTCACAATCTTAACATTTAAGTCATTCCAATGACATCGTAGGAGTTGATCTTCCATCAATCTCCTGATATTTAAGAAGAGTCTTCAAAATCTTTCATCAGCTTTATTCAACTTTATAAATTCCATAAAGAGACATCCAGAATTTGTCACAGCTATTTCATGTCTAGATCCTTTTCTTGATTTGTCTTCTGTATTTTCATGTTGGTTATCTGAATGTTGCCTTCAAACTCTACGTCTATTTTTTCTCATCTTCTTCTAAAAATTTATCCACTGACATCTGTATCCTTTTTGAGACATTATCTATTAATACTTGAATTTAATTATTAAAAAACCCTTCAAGATAAGATTATAGCTTGCTTAGCCATTTTAACTCTTTTCTACCTAGGCCTTTACTTCCCTCTAGTGTCCATTTGCAACCTCAGTTACAAGCCTCAGTTCCTAATATGAGTTCAGTTCCATTTCAGTCATTTTCTACTAGTATATAATTTAATTATATACTTGTTTTTCAAATCTTATAGCAAAATTAACCAATATGTCAAATATCTGGTCTTCCCTTCCAGATAAATAAACACTATTACTACAGTAAGCGTAAAGCCAAGCCACAAAATTTGTACAATGTACAATCTCAGAAAATGTCTGGAAAAGACAGCTTGTGGGTTCTTTTGTTAGTCATTTTTGACCTATCTCTAATAACCCATTTTTTAAAAAATCCTGCTTGAGGACTCTTGTTGGCAACACATCAAATTGATATTTTAATTGGAATATTCTGTTTTCAAGCTTATTCAGCTGCAATCAGAAAGATCAAATAAATTACTCAAATAAATGTTACATGAAAAACAAGTGAACTGCATTTACTTGTAACTGGCTAATTAATGTTTCTTCCCATTATTAGAGGGATGCGGCGGGAGCATGTATGACTTTTTTTTAAAAAAACAGAGTGGGACTGTAACCATATAAACTAGCCTTGATGGCCAAGAACCAGTACTTTTGCTCAATTTGTATGCGGCACAACCCAAAAGCATTCTATGCATGATTTTTTATAACTTTTATTATGTTTTTACATAGATAAAAGACAAATATATAAAGAAAACATTGTGCAGAAAATACAAAAAAATAATAATAATAATTAAAGAAGTGACTTCCACCCTTCTTCACAGAATTACAAACTCTATCCCTTCTCCCTCAACATTACAATAATCCCTTCAACCTGTTCTTCAATCAAATCCAGAGATCACTATTTCCTTTTTTTCTATTTTCAGCAAAAAGTCTATAACTTTCCAATCTTTACATTTTATATATGAATAATCTTGACTCCAGTCCTATATACCTTAATGACACCAGTTATAACTGATGCCCTGTAATTTTACCTACATTATTTACATGGAACTGTACCTGAAAACTACTCAAAAACGTCTTCCATGGCAGCTGGCATGTCCCTCCTGCATGAATTCAATAACAACATATGATAATAGTGGCGCTGTCCACGTGTGGAATTAAGAAAAGATTGGAGTATCATTTGTCAGGAATGGTATAGAGCAGGGGTGTCAAACTTGCGGCCCATGGGCCAGATGAATCACGCTCTGGCCACCCCTACCCTCAGTTTAGCAAAGGGGGAAAAACGTCACAATACGTCATGTGACAACATGATGCCACAAGTTTGACACCTCTGCTATAAAGTCTCCTGTTTGAGCACAGGGGTTGAACTAGAAGACCTCCAAGGTCCCTTCCAACTTTGGTATTCTGTATTCTCTATTTAACCTAGTGAAACATTTGTGAATAAAAATGGTCCTAGTTTAAATAAGAGTTATTCTTTGAGAATCTAGATGCAGGAGGAATCATCCACCTTCCCTCACTACTGCTAAAATGAATATGTTTCTCCAATTTCCAGGAAGAAGTGAATCTCTTTCAGATCTGCTTATGCTTAGAGATTATATCCTCACTAATCCCTCTGCTTTTGCCATATACTTACTGGATCTTTGAACTGTTCACTGACAGAGCGGATGACAGGAAGTGTTTCTTCCAGTTTGGAAGCCAGCTGGTCAGCATTCATGTCTCCTAGGCCAAGCATGTTACACATCTAGTGAAAAACAAAAAGTTGCAATGATGGGCAACATCCAACAGAGGCAAATCATAATTGTAGTATAAGGCAAGTGAAAGAGAAACTGAAATAGGCTAACCAACTCAGGGCAGAATAATCAAGCACAGCAATATACTTTAGTGCTACTGCATCTTGCTGGTTGTCGACGGAATAAACAATATTTTTATTTCTATTTCATCCTAGAAGCCATGTCACATACCAGAGGTGATAATTATACACTACTTCCTAAGGTTGTATTGTAAGAATAATACTAGAGTTCAAGCAGGAACAGCTTGAACTGTTCCTGTGCTACCTTTTGTAGCATTCAAGTCAGATACTAGCGTAATATTTTTAACAATAAAGTCTTATGCTTTTATGTTGCTGATGATTCTCCTCCTTTACCTGGGATATGAAGGGACTGATTTGGTTCTTTATTTGCATCAGTCGACCTAGTCCCCGCTCCACGATTGTGGGGAAATTGAGCAGCCGTAATGTGTGTCCCGTGGGTGCTGTGTCGAACACCACCACGGAAAAATTCATTCCTTTCACCAACCTGTTCAGGCCAGAGAGAGAACACTATCAGCATACTCCAAAACAGTATTATTCCCAGATTGCTAATTTCTATTGTTGTAGCCATCAATTAAAATATACTACAAATCTTTCTCCCACAAATCAAATGAAATCCATAACTATGAATTTTGGTTTTTCATCCCATCAATGGAAAGGTGAAATGCAGAATCTCAGCAATTTGAGGTTTGGTCACTAGACAAACACAAGATACATACAAGAATCTTATGAGAGAATTGTATATTCACCGCAGGCCGGGAGTCTGTAACATAAAGGCGGTATATAAATTTAAATATTAAAATTAAATTAATAAATGAAATCAGCATCACAAATGAGAAGTCCACATCCACATCACATTGGACTTACTGCTAAAGAAAACTCTTATTACATGTTACATTGCTGAATGCAGGTAAAAAAGTTCAGCCTTTGCTTCCAAAGAGAAGTTTTAAATATATAGTAAACGATGAGCCTGATACTTCAGTTCACAATTCTCACCTCATCACTTCAGCGTAACTCATTGCTTCATCGATACCAGGAAAGGCACTCATTGCCTCCTGCATCATCTTCTTGCCCATACTTAGCATATTATCTTCCTCAAAAAATTCATCAGGAAGCTCAGCCACACCCAAGCTAGGATCAATCTCCTAATAATAAATTATGGACAGAATAATTCAACACCACCATGTAGAAGCTGCATCATTAAGCCTCTCAATATGAATGCTTTGAGTGAAACAACAGAATTTACGATATGAAAATAACTTACATGTAGTCCTCAACTTTGTTAAATTTTGCTCCATTTTACGATCTTTTTTTGCCATAGTTGTTTTAGTGAATCACTGAAACTGTTACATTAGTAACATGCAGGGGTGAAATGCTCCCAGTTCGGACCGAATCGCCTGATCCGGTAGCAATGGAGGCGGGTGGTTCGGAGAACCGGTAGCAAAAATCCCTGCCCCCCCCCCCCCCTCCATGCCCAGCTGAGCCGCATGATCATCAGAGGCTCTTCGGCCAAAAAAATGCTTTTAAAAGTTTTTTTAAAAAAAGCCTCTGATGATCGCGCGGCTCAGCTGGGATCGTCAGAGGCTTTTCAAAGCATTTTTTTTCTGCAACCCCTTCGGCCAAAGAGGTTGTAGGAAAAAAAATGCCTTTAAAAGCCTCTGGCAATCCCAGTTGACTTGCCTGATCGTCAGAGGCTTCTAAAAGCATTTTTTCTGCAACCTCTTAAGATTGTAGAAAAAATGCTTTTAAAAGTAAAAAAAAAAAAGTTGGCCACACCCACCCAGTCACATTACCCCTCACCCACCAAGCCATGCCCACAGAACCAGTAGTAACAAATTTTAGATTTCATTCCTGGTAACATGGTTGTTAGGTAAATCTGGCTTCCCCGTTGACTTTGCTTTTCAGAAGGTTGCAAAATGTGACCACATGACCCAGGGACTTAACACCATCATGACTATATGCCTCAAGCACTCTCTGGTACAATGAAGAATTCACACTGGATTCGATGATAGTCAAACTGTGATGGAGCCCCAAACCATAACATTTCCACCACCATACTTTACAGCTGATATCAGGTTATTCTGTTGAAATGCTGTCTTTGATTCTTGGCAAATATGTCCCTTGGTATTATGGCCAAATAACTATCTTTGTCCTCTTTGTCCAGAGCACAATGTTGCAGAAGTCTTGGTCTTTGTCTACAGGGTCTGAAGTACAGTTTAGTGTTGCCCTGATGTTCTTTCTAGAAAGCAAAGGTTTCCTCTTGACACATCTGTCACGAAGATCTAATTTGTGCAGCTTCTTCCTAATGAGACACACTTTCACATATGTTGTGACAAAATCTACCTGTAGGTCATGTGACAAAACTTTGGGGTACTTAAGAGACTTTTTTCAGCTATTTGCATTCTGCTCTCAGGTTGAATTTGTAGGCTGGCCTGGCCAGAACAAGCTGGCAATTATTTGAAATCTTCTCCACTTGGAAATTATCTTCTTGAACAGATGATTGATGGCTTAAACGTTTGCAGTGGATTCTCATTTTAGGTATTGAGGTGGCAATAAATGAAGATGTGCACTTACTTTTTCCATATGATAAATTTGCATATTTAAATTACAGAATAGACTACGAAATGTAAACAGTGCACCACATGTGTTAGATTTCCTTTATCAATATTATTGAAAGATAAATATATGCTGAAATATATTGCAAAAGTCAAAAATTTCAATGGGGTACACTTACTGTTTCATATGACTGAACAGGAGTCATATATCCACTGTTGAGATTAGAGGTACTTATTCTCTCTCTGAGATTTGTATATATTTCAGTTTTAATGTTTATTTTTAACATATTTATATTTTAAATACATTTTATTGCTTATTGTACACTGTCCAGAGTAATGTTTTAATTAATAAAATAATTGCAATAAGGCAGTCCATTTTTTAAAAGAATGCCCAAATATTTACAAAATTTTTAGGAAGAAAAGCCTTTAATAATAAGGAGACAAAGTAACTGGAATATTTTCTTCAAATAAGTTCTGAGTATTACTGTACTACTTAAGATAAAACTAAAATACATTCGGTCCAGATCTTTCTTTCTACACAACATATACAACATATACACTATTTTAACACACGAAAACATGTTATTTATCTTCTCAGAAGTACACTCACCATGGCAAAAAGATTATCATAACCCTTTACTTTGGTGGGAACCTTGGAAAATTTCTGGTCAAACGCATCTGAGATGTTATGAGCAGGATCAGTAGAGATGATGAGGACACTCTCACGTACCTTGGAGAGCTGTACAGCTAAGCTACAACTGGACCACAAAAGAGAAGCAAGAAGCAGTTATTAATACAAGCACGCAAACTACAAATAGGACAAGCTCCTAAAATTCAGATCTGCCTCTACTGAAGGACTATATGCAGAATTTTTAAGATTTATTTAAACTATTTAGTAAATACAAATATAAACTAACAAATTGCAAGTGATTACTGCATGCTTTTTTAAAATGAATAAACTACTCTGAAGGAAAAGATAATACTGTAATAGATATTACGCTTGTGAATTATTGTATTTAGGACTAAAACAGTTGAGATTTTGAATGAGGCAATTTGTAAAAATAGGATTATATATTAGAAAAAATCTGAGACATTTTACTATGCTTCATATACATTTGTATTTAAGCTTTTTTTCTGCTGCAAAAGACACCTGTGAATGTTTCTATATAATACAGTACTATAGTTCATAACATAATACTAAGTGATACGGTCTCAAGCGGAGTCATCATGCAACCAGACCTGATTTTATGACCATTTTACCCCAATCATTAAGCAAAACACATGGTCATCAAATAAATCCTACTTGCTCAGTTGATTTTCTTGTCAGAGGCCAGCTGAAAGGAAGGCGGCCCATTTCGGTAGTTAAGAAACATTCCATTTTGGACTCCACAGATTGGAGGAGGAAGCATATGAGGTCAAACACTAAGGTATATTTCTGGCTTTTCCAAGGGAAAGCAGGCAGTCTGGCATGATTCTTACGTACAATTGAGTCAACAATAAAGAAACCTAAGCCTCAGAGCATCTTGTTGTTTGTACCTGACAGTTAGAAAAGTCACAAATCCTGATCACGTGACAACGCAGCCATCATAAATTGAAGCGGCTGCAAAGTGTCCAAATTATAATCGTGTGACTGTAGAGGTGATGCAATGGTCATAACTTCAAGAATGGGTCATAAGTCAGTTTCCAAGGACATCGTAATTTCGAATCAACATTAAATCAAGGACTACCTGTACTATAATTGCGAAACATCTTTTTATTTACCTTTGATGGCACTTTGACTTCAATATTAAATTATTATCCTACGGACACTTCTTTTATACTGTAAAATAATCTTACATTATGTCAAAACAGTGCTTTGGCAAATTCATTGGAAAACTTTCAGTGTCAAAAGAATGCAACTTTAGTCATTTAAGATAAGAACAGCCCCCTTAAATTCACTTCAAAACATCACATATATAGTACTATAGCTTTCTCCTATCATATCCCTATCTCAGGATAAACTAATCTTGAGAAACCATTTGATAATCAATTAGGAGCCATACAGTACATAATTTTATTTATGTGCAGCACATAATTATAAATTACCACTGTAAAGTTAGACTAAATCTAACACTACTGGTACATGCCAATGCCCTTCAATGTTTCTATCACAAATTCTGTTTTATGATTCCAAGACAACTTGGAACAGAAATATTCCACAATAGCAAATCTACCACAAATCACACGGCTTTTGTCCCTTGAAAGTACAAAAACTCTGCTGGTAGAGTTTAACAAATGGGATGGGAAATCAAAGAGAATGCCAGGTCTTAACTTCCTTAATCCGGATTTAAAAAAAAAAATAGAGCATTTTTCTAATTTACAGTTTGAAAACTTTTATATACATGTCAGAAAATATTTTCAACCCGCTGTATCAGGAGCCGCGAAACATTCAAGGCCACTGAGGAAGGAAACCCAGAGCTACAGAGACCTAAGCAAGAACAGTTTAAACCTTGACTTTAAAAAGAAATTTCAATCCCTAATTTTATTTCAGATTTCAAATGCAGCCAATGATCCTTTGGGAGGAAATGACGCCAACCCTGCGACCCGGCATACATTAGCAAGCCCCTTGTTTCCTTACCCCTCCGATTTCTTCACAATAAATTTCACACTTTCATTTATTGCAAGGTCCTACCACTCACCGCCGTCCGGCTTCCTCTGCCAGGTAATACGAGGCAGCAATTCCAGAGGTGGGAGGTCACCAACAAGGAGCGCAGCAGCACTTTCCCCCCCCCCCCCACCTTATCTCGACCCTTCAACAACTCACGAAAGCAGAAAACAGCCGCCACCTTCCCGGTAAAAAGAGTAAAGCGGCGCCCGCCATCACAGTCCTCCTTGACGCCGTCCGACTCACCTGCAAGTGGTTTTGCCTACACCGCCCTTCCCGCCCACGAAAATCCACTTCAGGCTCCGTTGCTCGATAATGTTGCTCAGCGTCGGCTCCAGCGGCTCCACATCAGGCGCGTCCTCGAACTCGTCCGCTTCAGCCGACAGCCCAGATGCCACCGCTGCCATCTTGGAACAAAATCACGTGACAAGATGCTCGGCTACACCATTTTAATGCGGGGCTCTAATGGTTAAAAACCGGCGCATCAACATTTAACAGGGAGAGAGAAACGGCACGCCGCCCTCTCCTAGTGGGCCTCTTCTTGGACTTAAATCCTTAACGTCATCACGTCAAATCACCGCGTCACAAACAGATCTGACGCCAGAACAAACTACACCCCCTTACCTCTGAATGGCTGGTATATTCCTGTCTAAAAAAATTAACCGGATTGGTCGCTTAGGTACCTTTCCCGATTGGCCTCGGCATAGCGGAAGAAGACTCAAATACCTGCCCCTCCTTTTCTCTGATTGGCAAATGTCGGTTCATCTTAATCGGTGATTTAATGTGCTTTGATTGGCCGGAAGAGCTGTCGATTCTTGGGCCATCGGAGCGCCGTGCGCCTCAGTCAGCAAAAAAAATTTTCACTTCGACGTGCGCGTGGCCGGACCTTTAGCGACAGAGGCTTTCCCGGGATGCTTTGCGGCGGGGAGGCTTCGTAATCGTTTCCCGTCATCCTCCGGGCGCGCGTAGAGTGGGCCAGAGAAGGGCTCGAGAGATGGCCGGGGTGCCAGCGGGAGAAGGCCCGGCTTCCGAGGCGGCAGGACCGGGCGGCGTCAACGTCTTCGCCAACGACGGTTCTTTTCTCGAGCTGTTCAAGCGGCGCATGGAGGAAGCCTCTGCGTCGGGTGGAAAGAGCGGGCGAGAAACGGCGATGGCCGGAGCCGAGAAGCGGAAAGAGACCGAACCGCGGCCAGAGCCGCCCGGGGACCAAGAGCCACCGGGAAAGAAGCGGAGCGGGAACGCCCTCAGCTTCGTAAGGGATCTGGGCACTGACCTTTTCTCCTCTTCCCCCCTTGTTTCTCCTTTGTTGTGGTTCCCCTTGGCCTTCCCCGAAGGACCGAGGCTCAGAACCCCTTTTGTCAATTTGCTTTCTCTCAAAAGTAGGATCTCTTTAATAAACACAGGCAGTGATTCTCCAGGTGCCGCCTCTCTAGACTATTCGCTTCCACCACCACCACCCATAGTATTTGCATCCCTGCTCCTCTATAAAAGAGATTACTTTTTATTAAAGCAATATGATGTTAGCAGGAGCAATGTTACATTTTCTTCTTCCTTCTGAACTCTTCCTCCCTCCCCCCCCCCATCTGATTTGAAAGGCATCATATTGGACCCATCTTTCTAAGCATGTCTTGGGGTACTTGTGGCTATTTAGTACATTTCCACCACCCCCCTTCCCCACTGTATTAGTTCCTCCTCCCCCACCCCAAATACGAGTAGAAAATGAACTGATCCACAGTTGTTCACAGGACTGTGATGCTCCATGCTCGACACCATTCATTCCTGGGCAGGTTTATATGGGCTTCATAATTGCTGGGCTTCATAATATTGGCTGAATAATATTAACTCTATGCCATAACCCTAACCTTGATTTGATAAGGGTCTGTGGTGACAGATGTCCCAACTTCGAGTTTTCCTTTTGTGAATGTGAAGCTGCCATTCTTGACGTGCATATAATGTAGATTTTTTTTTTTTAAATGGAAGCAATAGAGATGGAAACGTTTTGATCTGTTAGTACGGAATGCAATGTGCTTTGCTTTTAGTTGTCTTTGGGAAAACTTCATTTTAGGCTGATTCAGCCTTTATTAAAGCACAAGTAAATTAAGTGGAATGCATTAAAAGTCTATCAAAATGTTTTTGAAATGAAATTGCTTCCCCCTCATACACATTTGTTGCTAGTGAATAGTAACAAATGTTTCTTAGCACATTGTTTTTTTGTATTCACAGTTTTAAAGTCATCAGTGTGTCTTTTGGGACCCAAATGAAATATTTTTGTTCTTGTTAATGTGATACAATAAGTCTGAAATATACTGAACCATTTTTATTTGCACTGGCTAGGGAAAATTGGAAGTATGATTTTATTCATCCTACATCAAGCATTAATTATAAATTTGAACATGAGGAATAAAGTCTGTTCTGCATTAAAATGAAATATACTCCTGGCCATATTTATTGACCTGTAATTCTAATTGGGTTCAATGGAATTTACTCCTAAGTATCTGTAGGCATTGTAGCCTAAACATTACAAATAAAGATGTTTTATTTCCAGTCTAAAATGTTGGGTGGAAGTTTTTAATTATAAACTGTTTTCCAACATGTATGTTTCCATCACTATATATATAAAACAATTTGTACTTGCAATGCATGTGGCATTGCTCCAGAAATGGATTGTGGAGGGAGTGCTGTATTATCTAAAAGTGATAATTGGAATCCCTGTTTTGTTTATTGCTAATTGAAATTGACATTTTCTATTTTAAACTGTCCTCTTCAACTGAAGATCAAAAATTCTGTTTTTCAACATAAAACTGAATCACATACATGCTTATATGGTATTCTAAATACCATTTTTAAATGTATGCAGAAGGCCTTTGCATTTGTATCTAAGATTATATTAGCATACACCACTTCCCAAGACCATAAAAAAAGATGATTATTTTGAATTAATGTTGTATTGATTCTGCTAACTTTATTGCTTTCATGATTTTGAGCAAATAAAAGTTCTTCACATAATGTATTCCAGATTGTTATATTGTAGGGAAATAAAAGTAAAAAATAGAATGGTGTTCCTATTTCCCACCAGGCAGCAAACCTGAACAGAAATTGGAATACTTCCATTTCTTGTTGCTTGTTAATGTCTTTTAATGTTTGGGCTTAACTGTACAGATGTATTGGTGAACACTGCTAAGGTGCCCTTTTACCCTCCTAGCACAGCGGTGTAGGTAACGCTCGGCAGCTCTGTACAGACTGACAGGTGTGATGGCGAGCTAAGATGATCTAATTGAAGGACTCCCTATACCGTTATATAGTGGGCAACATTCCCCTTGCAGCTCCCAGGCTCGTATAACGGTTGCAGTCTTCTATCCCTTCACCCAGGTGGGCAAGCGGAGAGGGGGCAGCAAGCTAGCCCTGAAGACAGGAATGGTAGCCAAGAAACAAAAGACAGAGGAGGAGGTAAGCTGGGACACATCAGGAATAATAGAGATATGAGTTTAAAACCCTAGTTTAAAATTGACAGCTGGGTCTGTCCTTATGGGCTTGGAAAAATATTGACTTGTTTCTTGTTCATTTGTAATAAGAACATTTTTTATTCATTTCCTAAATCTGTTTTAAGTGAGATTTTGTGTCCATTTTTGGTGTATAAAATGAATTTAGCTCCAAAAAGATCAGAGCCGCAATGTATATCCTGTTGTCCTAACTCCACCTTATGTAGCAGAGTAGAATGAGACAGGGTAATCGGAAGTCCATGCAGTAAGTATTGTGGCTGACTTCTCCAATAAAATTACAATCTCTGTGTTTCAATTGAATGGCTTCCCTAGATTTATATGTAGGCTGATGTTCATGAGAACTGGTACCCTAAGAATGTTTTTAAGTTCAGTTGTTAAATTTGTATTCCGTAACTGGCTCCCTTTTTTTTTTTTTCTGTTGTAGGTTTTGACAAATAAAGGAGATGCATGGGCGAAATATATGGCTGAAGTGAAAAAGTACAAAGCCCACCAGTGCAGTGATGATGATAAAACCCGGCCTTTAGTGAAATAACTTTTATCTCCAGCCTGGACTGTCTGTGATGTACATAATTATTTAAAATATCAAAGGAGTAGTGCGGCCCCACAAGACTGAATGCTGCCATGGCAGCAGGAGACTTGCCATACTTTTATATTTGAAAATTTAGAGCCTTCTTCACTGATTCATTTATTGTTTTCCCCTTCTTCTGAGAGCTAAGAACTTTGACTTAGTTGCCAGATTTTTAATTTGTAACACTCTGTCTCCAAATAGTGAATTGGTCTGACATTTCTTTCCCAAAATCATCAGGCAAGATACCTTTGCTGATAAACCTTCAGCATTGAACCTTTGCTTAACATTTTCTGTACCCCTGAACTTTCTACTATAGGACATGCTAAGAAGCTCTCTTTATCAAATTCAGTACCTCTTAACTGCTTAAGACAAATTTAAGATATGGTTGCAAATAGTACTGCAGACTGTAATAATTCCAGAGCTTGAAGTAATCCCTCTTCACTATGAAAGACAAATGAATCTGGATCTCGATACGTTTAATGTCTGACTGTTCTGTAGTTGCATTTATGCCCGTGTTGTTCTCTCCGTACTCCAATTTCACTGCATATTGCAATGAATTATGGAGTTTTGTATTTAATTCCAGCTGCTGCTTAAGCTTTTTCCTAGCCTTTTCCTATGCATGCTCCAATCTAATACTGGGGGATATCCTGTGCCTGTCTACTAAGAAGCAAAACACTTGGTCTGATTTTGTACCAAGTATTACATATTGGAGAAAATCACTAAAGTTACCTTAGGTGCTCTCTGCAATGAATTCTAGATACTATAATTTTAACCTTTGACTGCTCCTGTGCCCCACTCCTAGGTGTTTTGAGCAGAGGTCCTTGGCTCTGAAAGCAAGAACTCGGGTCTATAGTCACTGTATTGATAATGGGTTTTTGCATGCATGGGACCTATGCCTTTTTATCACTTGTTTACGTATACTGAGTTTGGTTTCTTATACTTTCCATAAAATACTGTTGAAATGGAAAGCACCCGACGTGCATTTGGACACTGAAACTGGGCATGACAATTTCAAATAAGGGCTTCTGGTACAATCCCAGCAATCAATTTCAAGTCAGGAAACACTAATGAAATCTTGTTTTCTGGCTGACATAGAGAAGCTGTTTTTTGTTGTGCTGGAATTGGGTTTCACTTCTAAATGTTATCCAGTTTGTGCCATTTTCTCTTAATAGATTGGGCTGATTTTTGAGCTGCACTATTAATGCGATATTCACAAAGATGGATTTGTACTCTGGAGAAAAACTATCTGAGGTTTGATCTCACTATTTGGGTCTATTTTTTTTCTTCAATCATCACTGTTCATCACTGGACCAGATCTATTAAATAAATTTCTGCCATGAAAAGGCCATTGGTTTCCACATTCAATATATCTTGGGCCTTTGTGTAATGCATTTGAAGAACAATGCTTTCTTTATATTAGGGTTCTTTAAGCATTTTTGCTGGAATTTCACATAAAACATCTGAATGTTCTTTAGTGTAACTAAGAACTCATTACATAACAGCTTTTACATGCACAATGAGCATGTAGGAAATATTTCTGAATATGGTAAGGGAGTGGTTAGACAAAACAAAAATTCTGTTTTTGCCTCTCATAATATCATGAGAGATTGTTGTTAAAACACCAGAAAAAAATAATAAAGGTTTGCTATTTTATTTCCAGCTTCCTGTAAAGTGATGCTAATTTTCTTCTTTGTTATACACTCAATCAGGCTTGCGACTCTATTGCTTTTGACCTCCACAGCCCAGATTAGAGTACTAATCATCCTTAATAATAGTAATATTTTTAAATAATACAATTTTGTTGTGGATATTTGTTGGTATATGTTTTCCATATATATATTTTCTAAATGGCATTATTTAAACATGCAAAGTCATTAAAACTGTTTACTGAAGGTATAACCATAGCATCCAGATTTTCCTTTGTTTATGTGGTAATAATAAGCCTTTAAATACAAGTGATACTGATCAATAGTTATCAGAGGGTTGAAAGCTAAATGAAGAATTGTTCTGCACTTAAAATGATTAGAATTGCTTTCCATAAATATGCATTGTAAAGTTAGAGAAAATGGATTAATTTTCTTACTGTAATAGTGCAGCCAAGAAGTTTATTTCTAAACTGTCATGGTTTGCACATGCAGACACTACTAGGTTCATGCATTGTGCTAAGCCCAAATGAGATAACTCATGTTAAAGCTTACCATATTGCATAAACATAGCTATAATTACATAATGGAAAAAAGGGCACTTCTGTCTATAAATTAGTGAAATGTTGTATTTTGCTTTCAATTAAAAAAGATGCATTTGCCCTTTTCTGAGTTATATTTACCATGTTTTTGAAAAAAAATAGTTAATGGAACAGGTAAAAACCATAGTAAGTGGAGCATGAAAACAGTTCCTTTCACAGTACACAAGCTGTTGCTCATATTTTCCAGACGTTCTTTGACTATTGCATGTACTTTTGTATTTTGAAATATATCTTTTACTAAACGATGGTCACTGCATTTCCACTTCCCAAGCTATTTTCACATCAGTTATAATTTTGGGTTATATTACTAGATTTAATCAGTCATATTAGCCACATGGAATTGACCCTCTGTTCTGTGGATTTTATTTTTTTATGAATTAAATAGAGCAATTACCTTACCTAGTGATTCTTTGGGATAGAAAAAAAGAAATAATTGGTACTATTTCTCTTTAAGTGATAGTCCCTTATAGTAAACCCCCATCTTCCTGTAAAGAAAAAAAATTTCTTCTGTAAAGAAAAAAACTTCTGGTTTTTCTCCCCCTTTTCCTTTGATTTTCCAAACCAGTAAGGATAGGGGCTTTAAATATCCTTCCATACAGCATTGGAGAAAGTGATCCCATGTCTTGAAAGGAACTATGCCACTTTTAAGTCATTTATATATTGCCCGCTTCAATGTTCTGAGTGGCTTAAGAGAATTCATAGATGAAGTGAAATGTTTGGCACAATATTGTACTCTCTAGGAGACCGTGCTTGGCCTGAAAGATATATACCATGTTATTTTCCTCAGTATTATGATTTCCTAAATACAGATTTTGATGGTCTGCATGAAGCAATCTTAATATTTCCCATATCTCTAAACAACGAGATACTAATACTCAACAGAGCATGCTGGTTAGAGTATACTAGTAACTTAAATACTGAGCTCCATCTTTACTTCTGCCACTTTTTTTTTGGGTGAACTTCAAAATGAAGATACAAGTGATACCAAGGGATGAGATAACATGGGACAAGGACTTTCAAAGAAATGTACTTTAAAATGGGTCCACCAACTCCAACGACCACTACCAATTCATGGCTTATTGGCAATCGGACCATGCAAGCAGCTGGCAAGCGCGTGCGGAACCATTGCCCCCGCCCGCCGCTGGTCCACGGAGCTGGAAAGGTTGGAGACCTTCACTGTTTACTTCACCGGGGGTGGGTGGGTGTCATGGCTGTGTGAATGAGAAAACAGAATAAAAGGGAAGAGTAAGATATTGTTCACAAGAAGCCCCTTAGTACTGTCATCCAAAGGAATTAATATTTTTTGCCTTAAACTGATTTCTAGACTTGCTCCTATTTGTTCCTTAAATTTTCTGTATTGTCTTCTCATGGCCAAATCATCATTTGACACATTGTGCTGTTTCTCCCCTGCCAGTTTTGGAATTGCAAATAAAAGATTATTTGTAGTATGGCTTACAAAACAGATATGACTTCATTCCCAAAACCAATGTAACTTTCTTGTTGCCAAATTGCAATTTCCAAGATTCCTTACAATACCGTAGGTCTGCTGGGAGTTCCATTCAGAAGGGCTGTACAATAGCAAGATCAGATCCTACTAATGTATAGAATCATGATTGCAACAATGGCAACTAATTTCTAATTCTATTAAAGGTAAAAAAGAGAACAGAATCAATGATAAACTAATCCAGAATACCTCATTCTCTATTTCTACTCACTTTCACTAATAGAAAAGTTTTCTACAGTCACCTTGGCCAATGTATGTACTTTAGAAGGCACTGCTGACAATGTTTATTTTCCATTTCAATGCAATGTACATCCGTTTTAAATCTTTCAAGCACTAGATCTTTGTTATGGACAATACATAATCAGAAAAGCACTTTCACATTTCTGTACTTGCAAGGCAATAAACAATATGATTTAAGGAAAGCCTTTTCACATGTTGGCTTTGCTGCATCCTAGTAACAGCCTGTCTTAACAGGTTCTTATGGGACAAAATCTTCTTTTATGTAAGACAAATAGTAGATTGCCTACAAATAAACATTTCTTCACTCTTCAGAATATATGGATGTTTTAACTCACAACCAGCATTTAAAAGGATCTTACCAAACTGAATTGTAAACTTTCCATAAAAATATTTCTCACTTTAAACAAGATATATATATATATATATATATATATATGCACTTAGCCCATCCCTGCTCCTTCCAGTGAACTTCACCCAAATGAAGATTTGAGTGAAACAAACTATTGCTTTCAATATCTGTTACATCCATGTGACTTTTTCCTAGTATGGTGAATAAGTATTAGGTGGAGAATCTGCTTGCCTTACAGGGGTTTGAGAAGAGGCACTATATATACTTCTTCAAAATAGATAAAAACTCTTTATTTGATGGAGAAAAAAAGAGCAAGGAAATGGTATCCTTTTCTCTTAACTAAAACAAAAATATTGTAAAAGCAACAAGAACAGGTTCAATCTCCTTCCCTAGCAAATATTACAGCTTCAAGCTACTCTAGGCAGGTAGCTAACTAGCTTCTAAGGCTTGTTTTCTGCATTGTGTACTTGTACTGATAGATGAATTTCAATAGTGGCCCAAATATAAAATGCCTGGGATTTTTTCTACATTAAATTCTTTTTCCCCATGAACTGACCAGAGCTGGCATAATAGCCTTAGAATTTCTCATGAACTGACCAGAGCTGGCATAATAGCCTTAGAATTTCTCATGAATTGACCAGAGCTGGTATAATAGCCTTAGAATTTCTCTTAATTTGTAAAATCTTAAGAGATCTTCAGCATCAGCTTTAAACAGCTTTTTCTTTCATTAACAAGTTAGAATTCCACTACAGTTTCCTACAACTGTACCCAGTAGTTTAACAGGGACATACAAAGGTATGAGGGTAGATAATTGGGTCAAAGAAGAATCTTGATTTTCTACAAAACTAAATTGTGAGTAGAGTGGAAGGAAAGTTTTAGTTCTGCCATTTCCCTGTTTCCTTCCAACCCCTCCCCACCATACACTGGATGCAACACTCAAAATATGGCACAAATCATCCTTTAGTACAGCCAGCATGGCTGCATGTGTCCGTAGGGGCTGGGACCGGTTTCTTTGGTGTACCCCAGAATTGTGCAAATAATGTCCAACATCCCAGGCCCCCAATATATCCACAGCCTGGAAGCATGAACGAGAGCAGGGCTCAAAGCCACCTCAGTTAGTCTCATAGGAGGAGAGCAGAGCAGCATCAACTGGCTCCATGCAAGAAGGACATGTGAATGATCGCATCAGCCAGTCATCAATGCAGTTTACATGGTAGATGTGTAGACAAGGCAGGAATCGGATGGGATCTCCATATACAAAATCCAGCATACAGATTACACACCTGGAGAAGTAAAAAAAGAAACTGAATGCTAATACAAAGGTTGCAAGATGGTTACCAGGCCAACTTGCTTCTATTTCCTGCTCAATTTCCTGCTTGGTAAATTTCAATTCAACTGCAAAAGACTACTTGCTATATTGTTTTGCCATACACTCAGCTTTTAAAAGTATAATATCAGCCTCCTGCACCGAACTTAATTTATGATATTTGAAAATTCCCCCGTGTTACTTTTTCCAAGTGGAAACTTGCAAGAATTGCTTTCTTCCATGTATAAGCCACATGTTCTAGACTCCAAAAAATAGCACACAAAGAATGAAGATTTTTAACATGTTATTAGGGTTCCTGATCTCTAGTTTATTTTGTTAGTCAGGAGATCAGAATATCACTGGTTTAATCCACTCCCATCCCATTCTCAATATCAATCTCACAGTAACCACAAAGAATCACAAATATCTTATCCAAAACAGCAATTAACACTGTTGATGTAAATATCACCCAACAGATTGTGCTGTGATGCTGGAATGGACTGAGTTCTTGCTGGCTATAAATGCCAGAGCAATGTACTCTAGCCTACTGGCTGATGGCTGATTATCAAATTTTCCTTCATGCTCTCAGTAATACTGAGTTTCTGAAATAAATATTGTTCTGCTAGACCAGTGCAAAGAAGCACAGTTCAAATTTCTGGATCATTTTGACTATCCATGATGAGAATTATACTCCAACACATTTAACAGAGGAAGATGCTCTGTGTCCTTTCCACAGAGAAAATTCAGAAACATGCAGCTCATTACAGGTAGTTCTTGCTTACTTTATCTGCCTTCTTTAGTCATCATTCAAAGTTAGAATGATGTAAAAAATAGCTTTTTGACCAATCCTTGTATTTATGACTCTCACATAACCATATCGCCACTATGGTGACCATAGTGACATGATCACCATTGGGGCACTTTCCAATCGGCATGCATTACTGACCATTACAATGTACAGCGATCATATGTTCACCATTCACTTGCTTCACAACTGACAACTGGCTTCTGACAAGTAGAGTTAATGGAGAATATGGAAGTAAAATTGAAGTTGTAGTCATGTGATGTCTTGCTTAACGACTGGGGTGATTTGTTCAATGACCAAATATAAAGTAATGTTAAGTCCGTCACAGTCACATGATTTTACACTTATTGACCACATGCTTACTGATGGAGTTGTCACTCCCAATTGTGGTCACAAACCACCTGTAACTATTTTACTTAATAGTTTAGCATAAGAAGCTATAATAAAGCCCTGCTGTGTTGATTACTTTGGGAATAGATTCAAAAGACTTAAGTACAATTTCTGCAAAGATGCACAATTCATCATATCCTGTGTTATCTAGCAGAATCCCTATATCGTGTGCAGTTTTTCTTTAAGTCAGCAGTAATCTGTTTTTTAAACAAACAAACAAACAAACAAAGCAAGTAAAGTTTGAAAGCTTCCTGAAGTCACTTCTAGTGAGATGGACAGCTATACAAATATTATAAATAAATAAAAATAAGGCATAGCATATTCCTGTTGCTGTCAGCTCTGTCCCACTGGGAGGGCCATTTCTGCATACCGTCAATAACTTCTAAAAATATTTTTGTATTCATTAGCAATTAATCACTATAATACTTTCAAGATTTGTTTTGACTTTACAAAATACATTTAAAGCATGGTGCTTTACATACTCTTTGATTTTCTTTTCTGATGGCTCTGAGCCGGGATCAAATATTCCTTTAGGAAGGTGCTGAATTAGTCCAATCCTTTGAGCTATCCGGATTTGCTCCTCTTCTGTTAGTTGTGTGGCAAGACGTGCCTGGCTAGGCGTTGGGTGATACACTGGAATTGGAGTGTGATCCTAGAAAGTCAGACAACAGTGTGGCTGAACATTTACTATTCTAATAAATAGCTTGTTACATGGATTCATAATTACACATCATAATACAAGTAACAACTCCCTTTTCTCTCTGATTGCTAGAAAATTTAAAATACTCTCCCTTTTAACATGCCCTCACTGTTAACAAATGAAAATAATCCAGAGAAATCCTACACTGACACACATAGCTATTTATCATTTTGACACACAGAGGGCTGAACTGTAAGATAATATTGTGGTATGGCAGATGGGCTAAAATAAGTTTTCTAATGAGTGTCAGAAGCTTTTCTACAGGATCAGTCACCTGTTACTTTCACATGTCACAGGATCCCCTTTTTTTCTATACACACATCTGTTATGAACCATGCAGGCCATTAATTCACCACTAATGAATGGATCCCCTACTTGTTTTCTAACTAGTCTCACATTTAGAGCAAACATTTTGATTTGCAATATGTTAGAATGTAAAGATAATTTCCCAATTTCAGATATTTCAGGCATTTCTCCTGAATCATTTTATTTTGAACTAAGGAGGCAAATTAGGTAAGAAATATGCACAAACTTTTCTGTGTGTACACAGAAATCCTAAATAGCACTGCTCCATTCAGAATTTCAGGAGGACTGTCTGAAGTCAACATTCAGCTTAATTTTGTAGTTTGTCCAATGATCACTAATTAAAATTTACACAGCAAGAATATCAGAAACAATATACACTAGCAGTCAACATCTGGTACATGTATTATTATCCTTTTCCAATTTGATGCCTACTTGACATGTTGGAACACAGCTTCCACAAATACTAGCCAGCACGGCTTGAAGAATAATGGGAGACATAGCCTAATAATTATGGAAGGTAGCAAGCTGGAAACGACTGACATACACAACTGCTGCATTTGGATGCTTGGGATTATAAAATGTATTTAACTTTTTAAAAAAGTAATCTATGCTTCACAATTATGCAATAATGAATTCCATGGAGCTGGCTTGATTTTGGTCTTTTTAAACATCAGTCTTTATTCATCTCTGCCTATTCATTTCAGCTGAATGTTGAAGTGTCCTTGTAAATCCTTACTCGTACGTACAGTTTCAAACATCCACTATGAACAATATAAAGGGAATTATTGCTTTAGTCCATTCCTTGCTACTTACTGCACAAATTGTTAATGCCTACCTAGCTTAAAGTGGATGGTTAGTTTTTGGCATTGGATATTATATGACCACAGCCCATAATTAAATGCACGGTACAGTGTATTGTATGAATCCAAGCAAATGAGCTAGCTGTGACTCAGGTAACCATGAATTAGCATATCCTGTAACTCAATGCTTCTAAACCTGTGGTCCGCAGTCCCCTGGGGGGCCACAATGTCATCACAGAGGAGGTCCAGGAAAGCTTGAAAAAATGTTATGATTTAAATCTTGAGTTAAGTCTTGGTGGTCCATGGCCACAAAAGGTATTTAAAGGGGGTCTGTGGTGAGGAAAAGCTGGAGAACCACTGCTGTAACCAATTTCATTCAGGTCTGTAGTAACATATAAAACTATTCTCTATTTCTCAGTCTTCCTTGTCTCTTCTTCCTCTATAGAACAGCAACTTCACTTTGGGAAAAAAGTAACCTGCATGTGTGACAGCTTGTGAAAACATAAAAGAAAAATATAATTGCTCTCAAATCTCTTGTGCTCTCAGACACAAGTAATAGAAATCAGAGGCAGCTGAGACAACTATCCAAAGAATGACACCAAACAATGTGTGCTAGGTAATTTGTCTCTAGAAAGAGACAGTGGCACATGAAATCAAAAGGATTTGTTTTCTAAACATTCACAAGGAACAAGGTATGCATATTTAACAAAAATAGGCTGGAAGCTTAACACATGCTTCAGATCTTTATTTGCTTTAGGAAACAATTGCTGATTGATAGCATTTTTGTAGCATGAGTTAAAATTCCAGTTTCCCTCTATCCAATTTCACTTGCAATTCAAACTTGATAGAGATCTTTATCAAAAGTTCTTGGGTAAATTTAGCAATAATGAGATATGAGGACTTCCTAACAGTGAGGACAATTAACAGTGGAACAGATTGCCTTCAGAAGTTGTAGGTGCTTCATCATTGGAGGTTCTTAAGAAAAGACTGGACAGTTGACTGTCTCAAATGGTATAGGGCTCCTGCTTGAGCAATGATTTGGACTAGAAGACCCCCAAGATCCCTTCCAGCTCTATTCTGACTGAGTGACTTCCAAAGGACAGAAATAAAAAAGTAGATCCCTCAAGGGCCTGGTAGTTTTAAACTTGTCCATAAATGATCATTACTTAGAAGATAGGAAATGATGCAGAAGTATTCAGGGCAGTAAAAACCAAAAGGGATTATGAAGAAATCCAGAAGGATCTTTTTAAACAGAGTGAATGGGCAGCAAAATGACTAATGTAGTTAAAATTTATGTAAGTGTAAATTAATGAAGAATAGGGCAAAAAATCTATCTTGACATATGCTGCTGAGGGTTGTGTTATCTGTAATTAATCAGAAAGAAGTGAATAGTTGTTGACTAGTGTTGATTCAGGGTTTGAAGCTATGAAGAAGGTAAATTTAATGCTAGGGATCATTATGAAATGGACTGAAAATAAAATTGCCAACATTGTAATACCTTTATACAAATCTATTTCTGGCACCCCATGAACAGTTCTGGGTCTGATATTTTGAGATGTACATAATAAAACTAGAAAAACATACAGAGTATAGGTAGTGCTTGACTTACAACTACAATTGAGACCAGAATACCAGGCACAATTCATTTATGGTAGTAAGTTGAGGCACCCTCATAACTTAGATCTGATTTTACAACATTTTGTGTGGTGGCTGTTAAGTGAACACAGTGGCAGTAAGTGCAAACCCATTCTTTCAAATGGGTGTTTTTTAACAGAAATCTGCAAAAACTGCCAGAAACCAGGAATAATCATTGCAAATCAGTCATATGACCATGGGATGCTGCAAGCGATTGTAATGGCAAGCCAGCTGCCAAGCACCTGAAATGTGGTCATGTGACCATGAGGTTGTGGTGGGATGGCACATTTTACAATAGCCAGAACTGCTTCATGGACCACAAGGCACCCATCCCAGGCCCATCATAATTTCAAATGGCTGTTAAACAACCGGTTATAAGTTAAGGACTATCTGTGGTCAGAAACTAAGTTCACTGGGTGACATTGAGACAGTCATTGGGACAGGATTGTGGTTGTATGGAATAATAGATTGGAATCTTATGTATGCTGCCTATATGAAAGGCAATGTAGCAATAAAATTAATTTTAAAAAATGAGGAGGCCCTCTGACATCTTCCTTGCAAAAAAAAAAAAGGCTAGAACTTTAGGGAATAGAAAAAGAAGCAATTGAAGACATGACTGAAGCAAATGAAACCACAAATGATAAAGAGAAAAACTGATGAGATTTTTCTGTTTTTCAAGGTAGCATCGTTAGGAGTCATTCAATGCTGCCGACATGACAGAGATTTAGACAAAAAACAAATACTTAATACAATATATACTTTTGTAGAAGGTGACACAACCACTAACTTGGGTACTTTTTAAGTGGGATTGGCTAAATTCATGGAGGACAGTTTTTATGAAAATTTAATATTACATCTGGGTCAGGGGCATCATGCCTGCAAGTACCATGTATAAGGGAATAATGGTAACAGAAAGGGGTATAGCAATAGCAATAGCACTTAGACTTATATACTGCTTCATAGTGCTTTTACAACCCTCTCTAAACAGTTTACAGAGTCAGCATGTTGCCCCCAACAATCTGGGTCCTCATTTTACCGACCTTGGAAGATGGAAGGCTGAGTCAACCTTGAGCCAGTGAGATTTGAAATGCCGAACTGCAGCTAGTAATCAACTGAAGTAGCCTGCAGTACTGCACTCTAACCATTGCGCCACCTCGGCTCTATTATCTTAATTTGAATGAAATGCGGGACTAAAATGAACCTTAACCTAATCTAGCAGGTTTACTATATTCTCATTCTTTCTCATACCCTGGACACCTACATATCTACATATAATTTTAAGTGAAAAGCCGCCCCTCCATAGATGGAAAAGATTAAATACGTTTACTCAACAAGACAGTAAGAGTTAATGTAGCTGTTCCTTTACTTTCCTACTTCCTCCCAGGCAGAGTTTTTATGGTGTTTTGTACTTCCAGACTATCCCTTTTAGCCCATAATCAGATAGTATGTTAAGTATGTTATGCTGATTGTTGGTTGTTTCAGTGCAGACCATTTGATATGTTAACCTAGGTTTGCTAGCAATGTATGTGGATGCAGTTACAGTCAAGCCTGATTCTTTGATAAAGGCACATATATATGATGCATATATTAGTAAGCATCTGCCCTCACTTTTATACTTTGCATTTTAAACTGTAAACAGGTTAGTTTTTAGAGTCCCCCAGCTCTAAAAACCAAACTTTTTATGTATTAAGAGGCATTTGACTTTTTGTTTTCTCCTATAGAATATTCCTAAAGGCAAATTTGTTGTCTTTCTTCCTATCTCATTCATGATGTTACAGGAAATCCAATAACAGCTTCCTTTTGTAACTCTGTGTTTTGTCTTTGGAGATTCTCAACCCCTATGGGTTGTCCCATAGGTGCTTTTTTAAAAGGCAACAACTGGACTTAGTTTTTCTTGAAGACATTTCGCTTCTCTCCAAAGCTGAAAAGAACTGAAGAAGCTTCTTGGATGAGAAGGGAAACATCTTCAAGGAAAAACAAAGTCCAGTTGCCTTTTGAAAAAGCACCTTTGGATTTTCTGTGTTTTCTACTTCCTTTTTTCCTACTACATACAATATATTAAAAAAATAAAAGACAGAATGTTTGCACAATTTCTTTGCTTCATAGTACTAAGTCTTTGCCCGGAAGCCCCCACCGCAAAAATCAAGTACATTCTCTAATAAATTACCTGAACAGCCTTCCATTTCCCATGTCTTGTAATAAGCTAGAATAGAATAGAATTCTTTATTGGCCAAGTGTGATTGGACACACCAGGAATTCGTCTTGGTGCATATGCTCTTGGTGTTCATAAAAGAAAATATATTTTCTAATGTTTTTCCATAGCTGAATGGCAGTTCCTAGTTCTTTATTTAGAATATTGACCATGACTTAGCTTAATTCCATTAATTTATGTCTCATAGGATTTCTTTTTCTGATTGGGAAGAGTAATTACAGTAGTCCAAATGTAGACTAGCCTACACTCACAGCAGCCCAAGTAGTCTTCTCTTCAACCAAGGGAGCTTCCAGACTGATGGTTGGTAGCACAAAAACAGCATTGTGCAGCTGATATTTCATATTTTTCTCCTTAAAAGGTATTCGGTAATAAGGGGGGAAAAACAGGAAGTAATGAGAAAACACAGGAAGGTTACAACAAGCAGATGTCATCTTCTGGAGTCCAAATTTTCACAAACGAGTTAGAACAACCACAATAATAAAAGCCTCCTCTAAACCCACCCCAAGTTTAAAAACATGTTTCCAAACCATGGTCAATATTGTGCAACTAGAGCCGCTAAATGGATTCATCCTTGTAGAAATCTGCGGAAGAAGTGGGGGTCAACACTGCAGCAGCACCTGCCCTTTATCTCCTATAGGGTTCACGTGTGGACCGAGTCAAGTTCTCCATCATGGCTCCGGCCACCCCCAGTCCATCTCGCGTTACTTGCCCCCGAGTCGCGACATTCCCCAATGCCACCCCCTCGTCTGCACGCTAGCCCCTCGCGGGCTACTCAAAGCTGACCCCAACTGGCGAGAGCCTGGGAGCATCATCAGCCCCAGGGCTTCGGGACTCCCTTCCCCACCCTACGCGGTACCTGGTAGGGGGGCGGCGGGGCAGGGAGGGGAGGTGGGTCTCCAGGCCCAAGGCTTGTCCCATCGCCGGTAGAATCGTTGAGTAGCGACAGGTCATCAGCTGCCTGCGAGGAGAGGCAGCCCCCCATGCCCGCCCGCTCCGGGCCGCTGCCGGGACCGGCCCGGCCAACCTCCGTCTACCAGCTCTAGAGGGAGGGGGGGGAGTGGCGGCTGGGAAAGGGGGCCTCGTCTAGGAGGACGGGAATTGTAGTTCTCAGCTCCGGGAGCCTTTGCGCTTGCGCAATAAAGAACTCGTTCTCTTGAGGGTGGAGAGAAGACCGGTTAGGTATATACTGCATTTTCTGTACTTCGCTTTCAGCGGCCTCCTTTCCTTTCAATGCAGTAAACAATCTGCTTTAAAACAATTATGTAATTTTATGCGTAGTAGTGATAAAGCTACTAAACAGCCCCCATCCCCCTGATATTTGAGTTTTGAGTTTTACAATACGAAATCAAGTGTTGTTCTGGGGATTTCTTGCATTACAAATTTTTGCTAGAAGCATTCCTGAGGTTTAAATAATGCTTCTAATGGGTAACATTTGATCTAGTGGCTAACTGAAAAAATGTAGAGCATCTTTATACATTCCTCACTTTTCATGGAACCATCAACTCAGGCAAATGTCTTGCATGAATTATTTTCCTGTTTTCTATAACTCCTCTCATCCAACAGACTACCTTGGGATCTTGGTATTGGCTGAGCTTTGTTTTCTTGTTGTAAACGCTTAATCTCTGTAACATAGTCAATGCTTTGACGCAAGAGGTTTTTGTTGGTATTTTGTGAGGGGAAGCTTCTTCCACTGTCTATTTAAATAATTACATTATTGTAGGTTTTTACATTAAGATTCTTTAAAAGGGAAGGCAATATCCCTCATTGTGCCTTTCTTGCCTGTAAATTTTGTGTTCTTCTCTTAGATTGGGCAAGGCTTCTCCCTTCTTAAAGAAGCGTTATGGATTTGATGTTATTTCATATATATACCACAGAGAGGGGGAACAATATGCATTCTACCTGTTTTATTTAATATGGCTTTGATGAACTTTGAAGAATTCTGGAGACTTTTGCAGTGATTTTTGAACCAAAACTTTCTGGCCCAATTTGGTTTTATCTTACTGTTCTCATTTTGTAGAGGTTTGTCCTTTGAAAATAAAATATTATTTTAACTTTTATGAACAAGTTTATTTCCTAAGAAAGCAAGACCAAATAGTCATGATCACTAGGCATAATTAAAATGTTAACTGCTAAGACAGCCTATGCACTTTTGCTTTATAATTTTTAAAGCTCCACGTTTATCACTGCAAAGGCAATACAGTCCTAATGTAATAAGATGTAATCTAGGTTACATATGAATATTCTCCAAATTTTATAATTTCAAGTATTTATCTCCTAGTCCTATAGGAAGGCAGTACTTTTATCAGCATTTGTGCATTTCCTGAATTTGGGCAACAAGTTAGATTAAAATTAGGTTGCTTTGAATGTGTTGTGTGAACCCATGAAAGTAAATTAATTCACCATAGTGTGATTAAAGTCATTATTTATAAAGTGTTCTATCCCTGAGTAATTAGCAGAATAAAAATATTTAAACATGAATCATTATCTGTTCACATAGTTTAAAACTGCAATTGCAGCAAGTCACAATACAGTGTTTGGTTAAAACAAGGAGTTGTAGCAATTAAAATGCTGAACAAAATAATTTTCTTTGTAAAATTTCTGCTCAGAAAAGAGATGTTGGATACTCACACCGAACTATTTCAAATGTGAGATCATAGTTGTCAGTACACAGAAAGATAACAGATAACAGATAAGAGATGTAAGGATAACATACTTGCAAATATAAAATGAAAGTTCAACTTGATAGATATTGTAGGTATTCTATCAACTAGAGGCATCCACATCCATTATGTCTCTCCAGACTATTCCCATTCTGATTTTTTTGTTTCCAATTCTTTAACATTTTGATTATCAATATTAATTGCAGATGTTCCATAATATACATAAATGCTTCTTTTCCATAGAAAAACACAAGTTGTTCAAAATCGTAAATCTCCTAAAGTTCTTCACTGATTTCTTTGAAATTTTGACACAACGTTGCATTCGAATACGCGCGTGTTTTTATATACCTATATTATATAGATGTCACACCTGTGACAGGTAAAAACATGCTTTCTTGAAAAACAGCGCCATCTGCTGGACATAAAAGCAACACACGCTATACTAAATATTTTATGCTTCCATTTCAATGTTTCCGATTTACGATCCATTTACGATTTCCAAATTTCCAATTTTACGATTCCATTTCAATGTTTCCGATTGCATTATTAAACTGAATTTTCATAGAGTTTGATTTATTTTCATTTTGATTTAATTATTTCGTACGACATTGTGTTGGAATTGAGCTGTGCCGTATCCCTCTGTAGCTCAGGTCACGCCTACTTTGCGTCCGTCCCACCAGTCTTTTCACTCGGTCGATTGGATTCAGACCTGAGTTGCCTTTCTCTATGTTTCTTTTGGGACTTCAACGTCGCAGCACCACAATGGCAGGCACGAGCTGGGTCTTTTCCCCCTCAGCGCCGCCAAACCTACAAGCAAAATGGCGGGAAATGTCAACTGCCGCAAAGCGTCCTCCCGACTAACGGAGTGTGCCGTACCTTTGGCAGGGACCCCGATGCCGCCTGTGGTGCGGAAAGCTGCAAAGGAGAAGGCGGTTATACCGGCAAGCCGGGAAACCAGCTCTTACACCCACGGCAAAGTATCCTCGGAGGGGTCCGAAGACAAACCTCCGGAACCCCAGGAACGCAAACTCACTGACGGCAGCCCGGGCAGAGGCCTCCGCCAATCCCACGACGTGCAGCTCTCCCAATACAAGCACCAAATAGGTAAAAGTCCAAGAAAGCAATTGATTAAGCGACATTAAAGTCCAAAAAGAAACGTAGGGAAAGGCAACTCAGGTCTGAATCCAGTCGACCGAGTAAAAAGACTGGTGGGATGGAGGCAAGTAGGTATGACCTGAGCTACAGAGGGACATTATTGGCACTCGGTCAAAAAATATTGTACACCCACAAGACTGGGCCACAGCAACGCGTGGCCGGGTACAGCTAGTACAGAATAAAAAACATGAAAATAAGCTGCTTTACTTTAAGAGAAGACTGTCTCATTCCTCTGGTTTTCCCTATAGGACTGCATATCTAAAGACTACAATATATAATAGTATTAATAGGAAGTACTTGGGTACAATCTTCCACAGCTTTGTAACCTTTTTCTTATGATGAGATTCTGAAAGTCTTGTTATCATAACTTGCTATCAAGCACAGAGCATTTTGTGATCGAATGGTGCCCATGGCATGCTGAACCAAAAACTAAGTACTAACAAACAGGAGATTAAATTCTCACAATATTCTAGATCAGAGGTCTCCAACCTTTATGGCTTGGTGCCTCAGCAAGGGGAGAGGGGGGAAGTGGGCCACCAAGCCATTACCGGGCTGTGGCCTGTTTGGAACCAAGCCGCGTGTCAGGCTGTGAGTACACAGCTCAACTAGCACAAGCAGTGGGTGTGTGTGCATGTGAGTGAGTATGTGTGTGCAGCTCAAATAGCGCAAGTGGTGGGCTGTTGAGCTGCTCATGTGCGCACTAGTCAAGCTGCGCAAATGCGCCAGCCTGCCACTCACACAGATTGGTTCCAAACAGGCCACAGACTGGTAGCTGGCTGCGGCCTGGGGACCCCTATTCTAAATTGTTTTTGTGAGAATTCAGACTGCCATATTTGTCAGGCAGAATTCCTTCTGCTCCTTATATGAGGAGTCCTGACAAGCATAACTTGGTGCTTGTTTGAAAGGGACTGAATAAACAATAAACATGTGTTAACATGTGTGAACATAACCAAGTTTTTCTTGTTGCATTGACTTCAATATATGCTATAGAACTGTTGAATTTTGTTTCCATCCAGTTAAACTATTTGCATGACAAAGCCATTGTTACCCAATCCACTATTTCGTACTTTAATCAAATTGCTTCGTTTCACACCGTACACTGAATCTAAACAATTTTGGATTTGAAAAACCTTTTACCTAAAATGTGGTAAGCTAACTTGCAAACCCAGTTTTTGCATCCGCAAGCAGACTTTTCATAACCGATTCAATTCAGTTGCCTCGGTTTACCTTAACGATGAAGTAATAAGCGTGCACGAATATGCTGTTGTACAGTACTTCAGTCTATTTTAATTGGCTACTTGTGGATTAACATGCTGTGCAGATGCAGGAAACTGGATTAATTCAATGAACCATGGTTCCGTTAATCATGGGTTACCATTCCACGTGAGGACAGGGCCTATCAACAACTGTACAAGGAAAACAAACTGCTTGCTCGTTATTAAACTAAATATTTTAGGAAGCCGTTCGAAAGCAACTTTCACTCCAGCTCGAGACCATTCGCCGCAAGGCAAGGTTGTGCCACGTGACCGCTAGTACCCAGACTCCAGGAGAAGGGGCGTGGCTACCGCCCTTTCTTGAGCTGCTACATGATGCACTTTCTTCCTCCGACGTGCGTAAGCGGTTCGGCTTCCTCTCGCGTTTGCGCCGGGACACGTGACAGGCAGAGACGGCGGCCGGCCCGGCTCACAGCCCGCGTGTAGCGTTCGCTTCTGGCTTGCCGCCCCCTTCCTTCCTTCCTTCCTTCCTTCTCTCCCTCCTTCGGAGCTGACGCCGCGGCCTCAGCCTGGGCACGCGGGGAGCGGACAGGTACCTCGCCGGGGGTCGGAAGGGGGGGGGTCGGTGGAGGGTCAGGAGCGCCGGTACGAGGCGGATGGCGCGAGTTTCGGCCTAGGCAGGAGGAGTTGGGCGAAGGAGAGCCTTCAGGAGTTCGGCCGGAGGTGCAGCTGCGTTCGGATGGCGTGAGGAGGGCCGGTGGCGGAGCGGAGCCTCTTGATTGTCTGAGGAGACGCCAGCCATGCTGGAACGGGGTGGGTCGGTGGGCGCGACGCCGTCGGCGCGGCTGGCGTGGGGAGCGACCCCGGAGCTTCCGTTGCGGCCGGCGGGGCCCTCCGGTCTCTGGAGGGACAAGTGGCTTTTCGGGGGGGGGGGGGGGAGAGAAGGGGGCTCAGGTGCCCCGCGGCGGTGCGCCTCTGTGTAGGAGGTGATGCTGCGGAACCCGGGCGGG